TATTATTCATTATAATCTTTACTTTATTCTTAATGCTTTATAGTCATCTTCTTTTAAGAACACGCAAAGGAAAAATTTTTTTTACTTTTCTTTGTGCTTTGTCTACAAGACAATTTCTGTATGATATGTTTCTATATTAATCAGTTTTAGTTGCTCTACACTTGACTAGTGTAACTATATTTTGTGTAGAATGAAGAAACATCTTTGTTTAATTTTTTTAAGAATATTACTCTACTTTGTGGGCTACAAAGAAATCGTCAAATGTTTTAGAAAACAAGTCAGTTTCCATTGAGTTATAACAATAAAAAAACTTAAAGTCTCTATACATTCAGTGCGAAAATTATTATTTTTTGTCTAAAGTTTTAGTACCAGTAAGTTTTATAAAAGCAGACTCTCTTTATTTCTCAAATAATTTTTGTTGTAGTTATCTTTGATATTCAATTAAAATAATTCAAGTGACTTTTGTTCAATTTGAATGCCATAGATCTCAATCTGGATCTACACAAAAAGACTAAACAACTTAATATCTATTGTGCATACTTTTTCATTCACAAAGTTTTGTCTAAAGTTAAAACAAAAGGTAGATTGTGACAGATCTTGAAATTTTCTAGAAGTCTAGCTTAACAAATAATTAAAAACAATAACAATCAAAATCGAAAAAAGACATTGGTTGATTTCCATCAGGCACCGTTATAAGTAGTCTTTGTTCTATTGCTATGATTTTTCGATAATTGAAGTAGATAGAAAGTTGACTTTTTCTAAAGTGAATGAATATATCCAGACCAGTAAGACAAAAAGGAATTATCAAAATCAGTTGAGTATAATTCATTATCAAAACAGAATTTACATGAGAAGGATTGAAGAATATTTTATTTGAGTAAATGTTAATAAGGATATAATGAAATAGTTTTAATAAAAATGATAGCTGAGATAAAAATAACCAAGTAGATAGAAAAAAATCAATAAATGAAAAGATCAACGACGAAATAACACTAATTTAATCATATATCAATAATAGTCGATAAATTACGTGACAGATGAAAAAGGATCAAAGAAGCAATAAAATATAAAGAAAAATTTCGCATCAACAAATGCCATCTATGCAAGCAAATAAGCAGAAAATATCAATTATATAAGACTGTAGAAAATTAGATGCAAAAGTCTGTTTGATGATGCACATCGAACTGTTTGATTGGATTTTTTTTAAAGAAATATATATATATATATATATTGAAATGATTTAAATATAGATTCAACAGTCATGTTTTATATTACCCTAGCTGCTATGTTCAATCGCCACACTTTTTCCTGTGCCAAAATAATTACAGTGCGGTCATGTATGGCAAAATTACTAATGACTCCACTTTGACATAAATCTCGACCGAGTATCGTACCCAACAATTTTCCATCACGATCGCGCACATTAATTCCATCACCTTCACCGATCCATACTCGTTCGTCATTGTCGACTTTGATTCCATCTGGAATACCTGCTGAACTAACGGAGAAGATACGACGAGTAATGGGTAATCCATCTCTGTTCAAATCATAAGCATAAACAATGAAAGTACCACGTCCAGGCAAGTCAGGCGCCGTATCACTCACATATAATGTTGTTTCTCTCGGATTGAAGGCAATACCATTTGGTACAAGGAGATCAGTAATCACTGGTCGTAATTCCGATGTGGTCATATCAAATCGATAAACGTAGCTACCCAATTGTGGTGAAGATCCAAATCCTTGCATGTAAGCAACTTGTGGATCGGTAAACCACATGTATTTTCGATGGCCGATCTTCGTCGTGAATGTCACATCATTCGGAGAATTCAGTCGTAATCCGAACCATGAATTAACTATTAATCGACTGACAAGTGTTCTTGGATTGACAGCATATATAGCACCAGGTTCTATTTTATTACCTTGGGAGCAGATATAGACTGAACCCTCGAAATAGTTCACACCATTTGGAGTTACAATTGGTGGTTGAATGGAGAGTTGTTTTACTTCATTTGTTCTCAAATTCACACTGCCTACATTAGTATTTTGAATTGGTAATTGATTAGCAGTGAACCAAACTTCATTGGTTTCGGGAACATATGCACCACCTTCGTGTGCAAATTGCAGAGAATCAGGGCTAGTTGCTAATAATCTTGGTCTAGCTCTATAGCCAATAAGATTAGTGAATTCTGAAGAATAAGAAATAAATGAGGTATGACGTGAAGCGAATAATTGAGCTTGTTGTAATTTTGCACTGGGGGATAGTGCATTTGATGGACCAATAAAGTCCGTAAAACTGAATGTTTCGCTGTTGTTGCGAAAGAATCTTGCTTCGAGTTTAGACGTAAGAGACATTGGAAAATAAACAAGAGAATTTCTTCCACCATCTGCACTAACATAAATTGACCAGATCATGATAACTATGAGGCGATACATGGTTCTACTCTATGTATTAAATGCTTGTCAGATGATGAGATAAAACTGTAAAGGAAGAATCAGATCGAATAAATGATTATAAGTAAAACAAGCGAAATGCAATGTTTAAATTATTCACTAGTCTCTATCGCTTCCCTAGTCAAACATCTTGTAAGCAAGATCTTGGGCAAGATACAAGGTACAGAAATGTTAACAGATCTTGAAAATTTAGGTACAAGATAATCATATTATCTTCTACCAAGATCTTGAATCAGATCTTGGGTCCAGATAAGTAAGATCTTTTTTACAGATATTTAGGATATTGGGCACAGATTAATAAGATCTTACGAATGGATTCATTAGATCTTGGGCACATATTACGATAAAATCTGTTTCGTACGTCGTGGTTTGCGATACGATACATGATTTATTCTGAAACTATGACTCGAACCTATCATAAAACGAATTTTTTTTTTCTGTAAAATCATATAATCACACTTTTTCAATTTATTTTCATTTGAATTATTCCTATCTCAAATAATTGAAGCAAGTCAGACCTTGGAATCTGACTGACCTTGAGATGGCTCGATCTCCATTGGAGTGCTTCAAGGCAGTCCTCCCTCGATGATTGATCGAGATCAGTATGTTCTCGAATAATTAACATTCGAGAAATAGTTTTTAAAAAATTTATTTTGAAAATGTATGCTTCACATGTTCAAACACGTTGTTTATATACGGCTATGTATGCATAAAAAGAACGATGAATGACTAGTCAGCACATAAATACTAATGATATCGTTCTTTTACTCAAGATCTTGTGAGAAGATAATAGTAAATGTTGTCTCTTCTATGATCTTGACAAGATCCTTAGTGCAGATTTATCCGATATAACCAAGATATTCACATACATATGATCTTTTCCAAATCTTTTCAAGATCTTGCTTATCGGTCCCAAGATTTCAAGATCTTGCTTATCGGTCCCAAGATTTCAAGATCTTGCTTACAAGATGTTTCACTAGGGTTGTTTTTTTGCTTTTCAATTTTTTTCTATTGTTGCTCTTTTGTCTATTTGCGTACTATGTTTTTTCATTTAATTATCTCTTTGAATATTCTTTACTCTTCGTCTTTTTCCTCATTACATATGCAGAATTCCAAGTGAAAACCTAAATAGGAGCAATGAAAAAGGTATATAATGCACACAAAAAAGAAACAAAATTTCTTTTACACATATTTACAACATGATCACTATTTACATGCCGATTGTATCACCGAACATTATTACTCTTTTTCTCGAATCATTTGTTTGCAATGTATTCTACATCGAAACAAAAAAAAATAATCATTTATGATCACAATCATAACAATTCAATCCATATCAAGTGATTCGATATTGATAATTTGTTAAAAATCAATGGAGAGATATTATCTATTTTATCAAAAGACTATATGTGTATTAATTAGAATATTTTGTTGTCTTGCAACGGTAATATTCTTTATGCCATTAGATCGATGAGATTTTTTTGTTAGAATACTTGCGAGACTCTAGGATGCTGTTGAAAAACCAATAGCAATGAACATCATGAAATTCATAGTTCGAATACTATCTATTTAAAATATGGTATTCAACGCTTCTGTTCGCGATCGAACATCATTGAGCAAAGTTTTTTTTCGAAAAGTAGAAGATGAAAAATAAAAGATCCATAGAATGTATTTTCTATATCTTGTTAAGACTCTGAAAATTTCTAATAACTATGATTACAAGTTGAACTTGTAAATGTTGAATTTTTGAAGGCTCAATGTAACAAGTGAATAATAGACCATA